TGCAATTAATGGGCTTCTCTCATTTGTTCCATGCTGACAAACATCGCAGTGTCCTTATGTTACTTTAGAAAGGCTGAAATGTTTTGGGCTTGTGGTGGCACGGTTAAAGAAGACTGTGTAAGTTTAGAATAAAACTTTGATAAAGGTGTCCGACAGAGAATTGGAGATGCTGTGTTTGCTCCGATGCAACATGACAATAACAAAATACATAAATAAATAAATAAATAAATAAATGGGCTTGTGAAACCACTACACTGAAATAATCTGTAAAACTCGTGAAACAGACTGAGCTATTTTAATAAGTACTCGTGTCCATTTGCTTTCATTAGAGGTCTTCTGTTTCCGAAAGCATTTGAATGTATCTTTTTTTTTCTCTTGACTATAGTTTCGAATTGCTCAGACAGGAATTAGTTAACTTCTCTGGCAACACACCAGAAAGCAACAGCAGAGGCTCAGTCTTGGATCTCGGTGAAGAATGGCCAAAACTATTACATCCACTTTGGCAGACACTCTGGAGAACCTGTCAAAGGGGGAGTTTGAGAGGTTCTGCCACAAGCTTCTGGACCGCAGAGAAGAGCCGCGGGTGAAACGCAGCCACGTGGAGGACAAAAGCCGTCTGCAGATCACAGACGTGCTGGTGTCTACTTTTACCGAGGAGGGGGCTCTGACGGTGGTTCTCGAGATCCTGGAAGCGATCGGCTGCAATCAGCCAGCGAAAGAACTCGGCAAATCAACTGCGATTCTGCATCGATAAAGTAAAACCCACACAGACAGAGGTCGGGATTTAATGAGGGCTGAGTGTTGGGCTACTGCATGCTACAGAGCGAAAACTTAACGACCGATCGACTAATAACGAGTTTTGACGGGGCTGATGGCAGATTCGCACATTTATACAATAAATTAAATTAACTCCAGTCCCACAATACAATCTGGACTTAGACTTTTTTTTGGTAATAATAATCTTATAAAATGTCCTGATCGCTCTGATGGAGTTGCTGGCTGCTTCATTCCTCTGTATAAATGTACAACTAAAGCAATAATACGTGATGGCTGTAAGGTCAGGTACTTTAATGAATGTAATATTACACCCATGTGTGATGTTTTAATATTGCTGTTTTTCTCTGTGTGATCGACTGAAACACCGTCACAGGGATCGGACTCTAACACTGTGTCTTCATTTTTGCAGAGGATGCTATAGATGGAAACTTCTCAAAACCTGGTCCCAGTGACAGTGAGTTTCTGCTCTCTTTTACCTTTCCTGCTATGAGACGTGGCTGATTTACTGTTTTCCTTTACTCTTTACCAACATTTCACAGTATAGACCAGCGCTACTTTTGACAGCAACATTTGAGTTAGTTTTAATCTAAAGTCTAAATTCTTTTAGCTTTAGTCTGCAAACACGTTTTTATGGGAGCACGGAAGCTTTCCTTGCCCTTCCCACCCTTATTACCTGCAGCAGATCAAATTGCGCATAAAAGGGGAGTGACTTATTGGATCGCTCCACCCATCTCTATACACAATTAATGAATTCTGGATGAGTTCTTGTCTCTCCAAAACATTCTGTTCTCAATTTTATTAGTTTAGTGTCAGTACATTTAATCATAGTTGTTGTCCTCGTGCATTAATTTTCATTTAGTTATTGTTTTGGATTTTTTTCCATTTTGTTTTTTTATGCAGAAAGAAACAACTAACCAGGTCTGCTGGTTGTTGCACCAGCTCAGTGTTGCTAGCTTTAATTGACGAATATTGGCGATTTGTGTTGAACTACGTAGTTATAATTACTACTATTTAGTTATTAATGGTTACTGATCATCTGAACATTTAACCACAGTTCAGCTGGTGCACCCTGCTCCAAGTCAGGTTTAAAAGTCAGACACAAATCCACAAATAACTTCAGAAAAGTCTCAAAACAGAATCGTAAAAAAAAAAGAATTCAAGTCTGTTGCTAATTTACATCATATGAATTTTATTAGCAATACATATATCAGCTTTCCAATTAGCTGCTTCTTGGTGCCACATTAAATTACTGGTTTCGACCGCTGAACGCTCAGACACTCACAGGTCCAAACATCTTTGCCTCCATTTCTTCTTGTTATTTTTCAACAGACACAACATGGAGTTTTGTTCCAGCTGAGGAGCTAGTTATGCAACCTAACCTAACCATCACTGGTTACAGGTCAAAACCCATTGTTGTGCTTCACCAGTAGGGCTCCTGAAGTAAACTGATTAAACTTTATATTATCTCTCTGACACAAATGTTGTAACTTATTGAACTGCTCTGCCTTTCCAGAAGTAGGACCTCACCTCCATTTGACTGGAGCTGTCTTGTGATAGAAGGGAATCAGAGAGAAACAGAGTTGCACATCCAACCTGAACATGATCTCAGACACAACATTTCTGTGTGTGTAATCACTATGCTGAAGTAACGAAGCTTAATCAGGCTTAGGTAGAAACAGGGTGTCAATGATATGTAAGTTCTTCAGTTCAGGGAAAGTACTTTAAATGTCTTCATCAGTTTGCAGGAGGTTGAGGAAAGTTCTGCAGGTATCTTCTGCTTTTCTCATGATCTTATCCACAAGCTCAACGTGTCCCTCCACATCTTCGCAGTTGATACTTTCAGTATCTGGAGAAGTCTTTGTGTGCAAAGACACAAATCAGTGTTGTGTGCCTGTGACATTGATTCACAGGCCCACAATGAGCTTATTCACTGTTACAGAGTGAGACGTTATATGCTGGCCATGTTTATAGTCTTATTTCCCAAAGGCCCAGGTCACCAAGATGTCGGGAAAGGACACCAGCTACTCCAGGAAGAGGTACAAGCAGGTGAATAGGAGAAGCGAGTGAGCAGGGCCGTAGGACTCAGGCAGCAGGGAGCATGGACAAGGTGGGAGAGTACCTTGCAGCGCCAAGTCATCATGCAGGCAGATTTCCACAAAGTCCAATTCCTTGTGCAGGCAGTATACAGCACCCTGCCAAGCCCAGTTAACCTCCATGTGTGGGGGAAGAGTAAGACATCAGACTGTCTGCTGTGCTCTAGAAGAGGCACCCTAGAACACCTCCTCAGGAGCTACCGAAAGGCCCTGGCTGACGGTCGGTATCTGTGGCGTCACAACCAGGTGCTCAGAGTAGTTCCTGAGCAAGCACCATCACACTCCAGAGAAGGCAATTTCTTTCATTAAGGCTGGAGAGAAACCCCAGGTGTGCCCACAGTTAACAGCTGGCCTCCTCAGCACAGTCTCGGATTGGCAGCTACAGGCTGACCGGGGTAAACAGCTAAAGTTCCCCCAGCACATCTTAAAAACATCCCTCTAGCCACACATGATCATCACTTCGGAGGCCTCAAAACAACTGAATATGCTGGAACTTACAGTGCCCTGGGAAGAGCGGATCAAGAAGGCCAACGAGAGGAAATGCGCTGAGGACGAGGAACTAGTGCAGGGAAAGGGGCTGGAAGACATTCTATGAGCCCATCGAAGTGGGATGAAGGGGCTTTGCAGGTCAATCACTCTGCAAAGTCCTCGGCCGGCTAGGTGTGGGTGGGTCAGCCAAGAAGAGGGCCATCCAGACTGTGAGTGAAACTGCAGAGAGAGCCACAAGGTGGCTGTGGATAAAGAGAGCGGATCTGTGGATAGCTATTGGTACGCAAGTTGTGGCCTGATCACCCCTGACTTGGTCGCCAGGGTGAGGATGTATGATTTTGCGAGACCCGAAACACCTGATTACTCCAGGATACATCGCCGAAGATGCATACCAGTGCATCCAGGAGATGTTTCTTGCATAGTTAATGTTAAAAATATTAAAAAGTTCATATGAAGTTTTTCTAAAGTTTGGGTCACTGAGGGCACTTTTGTGCAGCCTCTTAGCATTATTTGAGGATCTGAGAGTCAGAGATAGATGTTACTTTGCTGCATGAAGCAGTGCAGAAACCGGATCAACAACTGGCAATTATTTTAGAGAACTACACACAAAGTACAGGATCCACTTCCATATACCAGAACATGTACGCATGAAATTGTATATGTTGGTAACACCATCGAATGATTGTGATCATTACAGGCGCCCGGCATCCACAGCAGCAGTTCAAGTTACCTCCTGATGTCAGTATGGATATTGAGGTATATGTGTGTCTGTAAATGTGTGTTTCTGAGCAGTTAATGTTGCAGTTTGTCAGTTTCCTGACCGCTGTGTTTTATTCCCACAGAATACCCATGAGCCACTGCCCACTCCTCCTCCTAATGAGGTAATCCATTCACAGGTTCTCATGCTTTCATTCATTCTTTTGTCACATCAGTAACATTTATCATCAGTCTGTTTTCTGTGTTTGTGTCCTGTAGTCAGACAACTACAAACTGACTCATAACCCACGTGGTTGGTGCGTGGTCTTCAACAATGAGATCTTCACAGGAACACATCTGAAGGATCGAAAAGGAACTCAGAAGGATGCAGGTACAGTTCTTGACTTCAAACAGTCACATGACCTGATTTATGTATGACTGTTTTATCTGGAAGCTCCTGAGCCCTGTAACAATTAATGCATATATACGTATGCCATGACCATGTAATGTACTTATAATCCTTCTTTTGCTTCTTTTCTGTCTGATACAGATGCTCTGAATGCAGTGTTCACTCGCTTAGGTTTTCAAGTGAAGATACACAACAACTGTACTGCAGAGCAGATGAAGAAGAAAATAAATGATCTTGGCAGGATTAATTTTACAAGTGATGATGCCTTGGTGCGTAGACACATCTTCGGAGTTGTAGTACTTCATACATATGCACTTATTTTGAAATTTAGTTTGAAAAAAGAGTTATCTGAGAAGATAATACAAGCAGCAGGCTCTGAGGCTCTTACCATAAACGTAACCTACAGACACTTTACCATAAAACCATAACTTATCAGTATTACATTTACATTTTTTCAGCTATTGTTTATCATTTACTGTGCAGATATGCAGTATCAGGCTTCTCAAAAAGGTCTTAGATCAGCACATTTCTAAAAAATGTTACCATGTAGTGCATGTCTCTGTGATTGTAACAGCAGCAACATGTCAGCAGTAGTGTTAGTATAATTAATAAAACATATATCTACCTCTGATTTAAGGTGGTGTTCGTGCTTTCACATGGAGAAAAGGAGTGTGTCTTTGGCACTGATGGGGAAAGGGTGCTCCTGAAAGAGCTGACGGACCCCTTTACAAGTAAAAGAGCCTCAACCTTGACAGGGAAGCCCAAACTCTTCTTCATTCAAGCCTGTCAAGGTGATGGATACCAGAAAGGATACCGTCCCTGCAGCAGAGAGGACGAGAACCGAAAAAAAGAAGCATGGCAAGCTGACGACTCAAGCCCTGATGAGACAGTGCCTGAGCTAGCAGACTTTCTGATCGGCATGGCCACAGTAGAGGAGTGCAAGTCCTTTCGAAACACACTCACAGGATCTATCTACATCCAGGAGCTGTGCAAACAGCTGAAAATAGCAGCGGAAAGGTGAGTTAAAATGATTAGTTTCTTTATAGCAGACCACACCACTGTCATATGGGAAGGTTGTAGTGCAGTAGTTTCCTACAGAGTAGATTTTTTAAAATGTCACATACAGTTCGGTCCATAGAATTTTGGACAAAAATAAAAATGTAGTAGTTTTCCCTTTTTAGAACACCTCAATAAATTTTCACACAATCATGATGTGACTGAAGTGAAGACTTTGAGCTTTGAGTTTTACAAAAAGCACAGGTTTAACAGTTCCAAAAGTACTCATCTTCACACAAACTCCACCATTTTCTGAGACTCAAAAGTAATGAGGGAAGGCAAATCAAATACATCAAATCTCTGTACATTTCTGTCTGCCTGCTTTTGGTGTTTTCAAACATGGTGTTGGCATGAGTTGGGTCTTTTGTTAAAATTTTGAAACTATCCTAAATGTGTCTTTTTTTTATTCTCATGTTGTCCTTGCAGACAGGAGATGGACGATATCCTCACTGTCCTGACACGTGTGAACAGGGAGATCAGCAAAGGAGAGTATTCAACCCACAAACCAATGCCAGAGCCCAAATACACTCTCACCAAGAAGCTTGTCCTCAAATATATATGACCTGACTGTGACCAAATACAACATTGCAAGTCTACACAATTCCTGCATAGAAAAATGTTTTTCACCTCAGAATCATGCATTCTTTCTTTGGCCTATAGTTCTATTTACCTAAATTACATTTTTAATAGGGAAGACATGTTTGTTTGGTTTTTTGTCATGAAATAAAAAAAAAACATTTAAGTGGTTTGTATTATTTAATACGAACCACTGAACATTATTTAATGTTCACAGAGAACGATTGACTCTTACACCACCTCTTACCTTTGAGCAGCTGCCAAAAAGAAACATTACAGGTAATGCCTCTGCCATGTCCACACTAATTCGTTTTCGTTTGAAAACACATCTTTTTCTCTCTGTTTTGGCCTTCCGTCCACACTCAGATGATGTTGTTGGTGAAGGTAAACAGAGCTTTTTGAAAACGCTCTCCAAAGCAGATACATTTGAAAACGTTTTTGTGTCGCAGTGTGGACAGCAAACCCGGAGCCTTTACAAAAACAATGACACATTTTAGTCACATGATGCAGTCATGTGACCAATTAAATTAAGATAGCGGAGGGCCTTATACAGCAGTTGTTTAGTTTGCTCTCAATTTTGACAGCCCTATTAAAGTTTAATATCAGTCTGTACATGCTCCAGATGGCTTTTCTTTCATTCTCACTCGCTTTTGCAACTTTGTACTTCTGTGTTAATCGCAGCAACAACGCCACCTCATTGTCAGTCCATTAAAAAAACTCTTTTTCCTCAACATTTTGCCGTGATGTTTCAAAGAGCCTAAACGGCAGACCGATATGATGCAGGTCGAATCGTCTTATGTTTCACAGATGCGCAATACAGGAACGTAAGCGGTTTTAGCAAATAATAGCAGCTCATATTATATCAGGTGAAAGGAGTCAAAACTCTGCAAAGTGTATAAGACTCGTGCGACAGCAGCAGAGGGCACTTTAGGAGAGCGCGTGCATTCAGTAACGTGACACGCGAATGATGAAAATGAGTCCGCGCCTTTCAGACCTCGCTGTGTGGGTGTGCCTTCAGAGAGATTCCTCCAGAGCCCAGCCTGCTTCCACAGTTCCAGTAAGAAAAACTTTTCACATCTGCCCACTTCTGCCGGTGCTTCTCTGAATAACAACATCGCAACATAACCCCCTTGAAAATATTCTGCAGTAGAACAAAAACTGAAGAAAACCATGAATTAACATATGAACATTACCTGATGCTGAACTGAAGCAGAGCAAAGTTACACAGGTTTTATTAGATACATAGCTAAGGGTTTTGCAATTTTTTTATGTTTATTCATAAGACTTTAAGGGCAAGATTACATAAAATCACACCAGACAAAAAACTATAACATCCAAGCACAGCAAGAAAGACAAAAATGAAAAAAAAACAAAAAAGCAAAAAAAAAAACAGGGAAACAAGGGGGGAAAACACCAGTTAGCCAGTTCAAATCAAATGTTCAAGAAAGATGCTAGTGTCCAAAGAAAATGAACTCCTGTGTGAAGTTAAACAGGGCAACAGAGAATTCACCGAGTCCAAAAGAGGTGGGGAACAAGTCCAGGAAGGAATCAGGGTCCGGTAGAAGTGTGGTTTCACATAAACACAAAGTACAGTCAAATGGGTTAAAGATTTTGTTGAATCCCTGACCCTCCCTCCACCCTTTTCCGGCTGCGGACCATGGCCTCAGATTTGGAGGTGCTTATTCTCATTCCCATCACTTCACACTCGGCTGCGAACCGTTTCAAGGCGAGCTGGAGGCCATGAACTGACGAAGCCAACAGGACCACATCATCTGCGAAAAGCAGAGGTGAGATCCTGAGACCACCAAAGTGAAAGCCTTCCGCCACTTGGCTACACCTAGAAATTCTGTCCATTCTAATGGAGCGATTCTGTTCATCATAAAAATTAAGAACAGAATCGTTGACAAAGTGCAGACCTGGCGGAGCCCATCACATACCAGGAACGAGTCCGACTTATTGCCGGCTATGCGGACCAAGCTCTTGCAACAATCGTATAAGGACTGAATGGCCCGTAGCAATGGGCCAGACACCCCACACTCCCGGAGCACCCCCCACAGGACCCCCGAGGGACACGGTCAAATGCCTTCTCCAAGTCCACAAAACACATGTAGACTTGTTGGGCAAATTCCCATGCGCCATTGAGTATCCTCGAGAGGGTAAGGAGCTGGTCCAGTGTTCCACGGCCAGGACGAAAACCACATTGTTCCTCCTGTATCCGAGGTTCGACTAACAGACGAACTCTCCTCTCCGGCACCCTGGCATAGACTTTCCCAGGGAGGCTGAGGAGTGTGATTCCCCCTGTAGTTGGAACACACCCTCCGGTCCCTCTTCTTAAAGATGGGGACCACCACCCCGGTCTGCCAGTCCAGGGGTACTGCCCCTGATCCCCACGCAACATTGCAGAGACGTGTCAACCAAGACAGCCCTACAACATTCAGACTGCTACATCCAACTGTCCATAGAATTCAATTCTATTCTATTCTATTCTATTCTATAAGAATAAACATGTTTACAGCTTTAGGAATTTATAGCCAGTTTAATTTCCCATTACAAGGCCAGTTGTGAGACAGTCACTGTATACTTGAATAAAAAAGGGCTGAGGAATTTGGAATAATTAAACACCAAAACCAAAATTTAGAATTAAACTATAAAGAAAAACAACAGCACTCATTCCTTTAAAAAAAAATCATTTATAATTGTCTATAATTATATTTCTTTTTGTTTTGAGTCATTAAGTATAGAAGTTCATTTGTTGTGTATCATACACAGGACCTAACAAAATATCCCATGTTTCTACAAATAAAGGGTTGAAAACGATACATATGACAGTGAAACTTTCCTTTTTATTTATTTATTGAACTCATGTCCCAAAAGAAAGTCATTTGTTTATAATAATTGTCACCATATTTTTACTACTCTTATGTAATTTCCTTTGAAATTGTACTTAACATATATCTGTAATTAGTCATAACAAGTTATGGGTTGGATGCGTGAAAGTCTGAAACCAGAGCATACAGAAGGTGAAGAAGTCTGAAAAGTTATTGCTGATTTTATTAGACCAGCAGCACATAAAGTATGATGTCTCGCCAACTTTAAATATAGGACACAGGCACTTCTGCCTATATGTAAACACCAATAAAAACACAATAATATACATTTTAGTAATCACCTCAGTGCCCAATTCAATGACATGTACACATTAAATGGCATTATTAATCCGTTTTTAAATGTGGAGGAACGGTTTGTAAAACAAATGACCACCACTTAATCATAATTCAGTAGCGTATAATTATGTGGCAGAAGAAAAGAGAAATAGCGTGTTAACAATTTCAGAAGCTAAATTTCATAACCACATTTTATATACTATGATGTTTTCTTTGATTCTTGAGATTCTTGAGATGAGATTAAAATAGAAATTCATTCATACATACACGCTGTAAATCAGGCTCATCAAGTCTATGTGAATCTGGGACTTATTTTTGGTCACAGGCGGGTGACAGGTTTGAGGACGAGCTTCTTGGTGAGAGTGAATCTGGGCTCTGGCATTTGTTTGTGGTTGAAAAACTCTCCTTTGCTGACCTCCCTGTTCACACGTGTCAGGACAGTGAGGATATCATCCATCTCATGACTCCAAGGAAAACGTCAGAAATACACTAAAAATAACAACTTGAATTTTTTGAATATTTGAAACACTCTGCTTTCTGATGTTTCGCATAAGCACATCTTACATCACCAAAAGCAGACCTACAGATATTTGTCTCAAGAATCAAAGAAAACATCATAGTATATAAAATGTTTAAATAAAATTAGGCTTACTTAAAATATTTTCTGTATATCAACAAATAAATTGTGAAATATGTCATATATTACTGTTTTCTTCCAAAGTAGCATTGTATCCTATTAAACTATTTCTCTCACCTTTCTCCTGATCTTGTCAGCTGCTTGCACAGCTCCTGGGTGTAGATACATCCTGTGACTCTGTTTCGAAACGTCACGAAATCCTCCACGGTGGCCATGCCTATCAGAAAGTCTGCTTCTGAAGGCACTGTCTCAAACT